TCCGAAAGGTAATCGCAGTGTACTCTGCGTCAGCAGACGCATCGCGAGCGTGTAGGGAAATCGATTTACCGATTTGGAGATCTTCTGTTCGAATATTTCATTTTCAAATCGCACTTCAGTCTACCGCTCAAGTTTCAACACGTCCCGCGCGCTCATGTTGCGAAATCCAGGAGCCGTTTTTGATCCTGACTTTGGTAGTCGACGACGGAATTCAATTGCCGTTCTGTTGGAGGATTACAGACCTGGTTTACACTTGCGCGATGTTCACGCGCCCAGGTGGGAGAATAATGTTTTCCAACTCCCGAGCACTCCGCTGTATTCAAAGGCCGAAACCACCTGTCAAGACCCACTTGCGCGTGGCGCGCAGCTGTACTCTCCTAGACCGAATCCAATGTTCATGTAATGCAGCGACCCTGTTCGATCCAAGGGTGGGCCACGAGATTCATCTTGACCTGCGTCTTTTTTTTGGTACAGCCGTTTCTATGTCCGCATCGGCGCATCCTTCTGCTCCTGCTTATCTTGGCATCAGGCGGCAGTTAGTTGTTAGTTGACAACCGCACCACAACAGATCCCCCCTCTGAATTTAATGATATTTTCTGGCTCACTTTATCCATCCGACAGCTCTCAAAAATAGCCTCAATTATTGGAAAGCCGGGAACAATTTTTACGCCGCCGTGCCAGCTCATGTTGAACAATTTCAACAGGGTATTTACCTCTATTTTGGTTGAATTAATCGGAGCTCTCATATGGCACATATACTGTGCAAAAATTATTTGGATGACATCTTGGTGGAAACAGGGGTTTTTGGCTTACATCTTCGAAGTGGAAACAGGGTTCTTGGCTGCAACTCCCAAAATGGGGACATCTTTTAACTTGGTTGCATTCCTTGTAGAGGTTCGCAGTTCACCTGGCTCTAATCAGCTGCTTGGAGTGTCTTGGATCTTTTTTGACCCCTAGGGCAGCGTAACTGATCGGATTGATCGGAACGATGATCCGAATACTCCGTTGGGATCCTAAGAAGGATATTTTATGGTTTTCGAGCCTCAGAGAGCAGGGAACCTTAAATATGTCAACAAATAGATTTTTTCGGGTGAAAATAGTCACTTGGGAAATTATAAGACGAATCCCAATGCCCCTAAAACTTTGGGCAAAATTGTTAGTCCGCAAAGTCAAACTACGGTAAATTCTCTTCAGTATTTACCTGAACCTTGCTGGTAGGTTCTCCAAATGGGTCTTCCGCTTCTGATGTACCTAAAATATGATGTCCGGAAGACTTGAACTGAGGCAGAAATGCACAGCGGCCGACAGAGTACGAATTGATCCCGGGCCGGTAGTTGGGATCTGATCCCAACATTTTGTAAACATTTTGGTGATCAATCCCAATTTTGCCGAGATGCCAACCACTCGCTCAGATGTAAGCCATTTGAAGAAGTTGCATCTATATTGAAGATGTAAACTTCCTGTGAGTTGCCACCCAAGCTAATCTATTGAGATGTAAGTTGTCATCAAAAACCCTGTAAAATTTCGCTAATTTTTGCACAGTATATCGCCCATACTCTCACGGTGCCACAGCCTCATCCCACGAGCGAGGTTCTCCTTATTTTGACCGTCATGCATCGCACTAGTTTCCTCCACGCTCCATGTCCCGGATCCACTCCAAAACTATCCCCCCTCCCCACCCAGATTTTTACTCGCCGCCTCAAACTCCAGTCTCGGCCGGACGCGCCTCGCTCTCGACCCTAGGCTGTTCCAGGCTCCCATGACCTCCGGCCTCTTATAAAGCAGATATTCCATCGGAGGTCATCGCATTGGATGCTTACCAAACTCTCACTGTTTCTCCTCTTCCTCTTGTATCTCCTCTCTTGGCCACCGTTCTTCAACAAGGACCGCAGCATGTCGACGAATCGCACGATCGTGGTGGGGGGCGGGCTGGCGGGCCTGACCGCCGCGCACACGCTGCTCGAGCGGGGGAAACGGGTACTGCTACTTGATAAGAAGCCTGGGTACGTCGTCATCCAAGTAGTTTCCGGGTGGGCTGGTGGATAATTGAACAAAACACAGACTGGGTGGCAACTCTGTGAAAGCCAGCTCGGGGATCAATGGCGCGTATACGACGGCCCAGCAGGCGTTGGGTATCGAGGATACCGTAGAGTCTTTGTGCGTTTCCCCGCTTCCTCTTCAGTGATTACATCTTATACACTGGTAGCTACGCCGACACTCTAACCTCCGCCGGGCCCGACCTTGCGCGCCCCGCGCTCATCACGGCCCTCACAAGCAACTCCGCTGCTGCGCACGCGTGGCTCACAGACGCGTTCGGCGTGGATCTCTCCGTCGTCGCGCGCCTCGGCGGGCATTCCGCGCCGCGCACGCACCGCGACAAGTCTGGTGCACCGGGGTGGGCGATTACGTCGGCGCTGATGAAGAGGCTTGTGGCGATCGCTACTGAGGACCCGGGACGAGTGGAGATCGTGAAGAGCGCAAGGGCGGTGGGGCTGTTGGAGGAGGGGGGCGCGGTTGTCGGCGTTGATTACGAGGTGGACGGCCAGACTGTCACCGCGAACGGGGACGGGGTTATACTCGCGACTGGGTGCGTATGAGGATTCCGCAGTATTTCGCAAGGCTGATTACTGTTGCGTGGACCAGAGGCTACGCAGCGGACTTTTCCCCCACCGGCCTCATCGCGACGTACCGCCCCGACCTGCTCTCCCTCTCCACGACGAACGGCGACCACGCAACGGGCGACGGCGTCCGGCTCGCCTCGTCGCTCGCCTCGTCCCCCTCATCCGGCTTCCACCCCCTCCTGGTCGACCCCACCGAAGTCCAGGTCCACCCAACAGGCTTTGTTGACCCCGCCAATCCTGACGCAAAGACGAAGTTCCTCGCCGCGGAGGCGCTGCGGGGGGCCGGCGGTTTGATGCTGGATGCACGGGGGAGGCGGTTCGTGGACGAGGTGGGGAGGCGGGATGCAGTTGCGGCGGCCGTGGGGCTCGCGGAGCGTGCGGAGGGGGAAGCGGGGGAATGGGAGATGGTGAGGCTCGTGTTGGGGGAGAAAGCGGCGGGGGAGGTGAAGAAGCATTGTACGTCGCGCTCTTTGGGCCTTTCATCGTGATGTTAATCAATCCCTCAGGCGACTTCTACGTATCCAAAGGCTTGATGAAGCGCTACCCCGATGCGGCGGCGTTCGCGGCAGACAGCGGGATACCATTGGAGAGTATAACCGAGACGTTCGAGCGGTATGCCGCGGCCGCGGCGGGTGGGGAGAAGGATAAATTCGGCAAGGGTGCGTATCGATGCCTTTCCGATTTAATGGATTCGCACGTTCGTCAGTTCTATGTGTTGATTTCTTTTCGTGCAGTGACATTCACCAACCCGCCGACGCTGGAGGAGCCGCTCCATGTGGCGATTATCACCCCCGTGGTGCATTACGTGCGTCTTCCCTCAAATATTGATGTTTGTACCGACAAAGTATTGATCATATCCGCACTTCCGACAGACGATGGGCGGCCTCGCCGTCGATGCGCACGCGCGCGTCCTCTCCCTCTCCGCTCCCTCTACGGACCACGCGAATCTAGAAGAGTCAGCGACCCCGATTCCGGGGCTGTGGGCCGCGGGTGAAGTCATCGGCGGCGTGCACGGGCGCAACCGCCTCGCGGGGTCGTCGCTGCTCGAAGCGGTGGTGTTTGGGCGGATTGCGGGGGAGGGGGCGGCCGCGGCGGCGTGATAAACGGATACGGGGAAACGCGGCGGCGTCGTAAAGGGATCAAAAAGAGGTAAATTGGGTCAGAGTTGGCTGGGTTGAGCGAGAGTCGCAAAGGGCCATGTCCATGGGTGGGGGTTGATATCTCCTTGTATTTGGCATCGATCCTAATTGTACTATTGTTCTGTCCTAGCTCTTATCACTGTGCGACCCACGACGTATATCATGTCGTCCAGTGACGAGATTCATTCAACTTTGTTTGTCGATCTTTTCGTCGAGGATTTCGCGGAGTCGAGAAGTTTTATACAGTAGTTACCACAGCTCTAAGTAGTTGGCTCGCTCCCTTTTCAGATTTTCCCTCAGGGGAAATTGGAATACGAATCCTCGAGGCGGAGCGATTCCGGCAGATCAGACGACGACCGTCATTTTCCTCACCGCGCGCGGGGGGGAGCTGGATCTGATGGGCAGACAGGCTGGCTAGGGTGCTGAATAAGGCGAGTCGGAAATCCGCGCAGTCCTGTCTTCCAGCCTAGATTGCGTTTCTGATCATGATATGCAAGCACAGGCGGAAGCAGGGTTCGACGTCGTACGTCGGTCTGTCTTGTGGTCGGTTGCGGAGGTGTTGATTGGTGGATTCGATTCATGCGAAGTAATGACGAGCTCGTAAAGGCATTAGGGGCGTCTCTGTTGCATCCTATGTGGTAGGGGTCATCTAGCCACCGCTACCCCGTGTTGGATTTTTTTCGGCCGGAGTTTTCATCAGGTTTCTTATCCCTCTCGCCAAAGTGTTTCTTTTGGCCGTCTAAGGAGATCTGCTAGAGGGATTTCCATTTGATTCACAACTGAGTGAAGTTTTTAAAAACATACTATCCTGGATTAGGCCACATGCACTGGGAAAAAAAAATGAAAAAGAGCCTACTTGAGCAGATAGGTGCCCGTACCATAGTATTTCCGCCTAATGGTCAGCTTATTATGTTCGCTATCGGCGATTTCCAAATGAATACAGTATAGTCCTCTGCTATTGGTTTCAACGGTGTCCGGGCCATTGTTCTCGAACGACATTAGTATTCTAACTTGTCGAAGGGTGTTCTATATCATAGTCTAAGTATATGGGTGCGCTAGCCATTGAGGGAGGCGCACGGAATTGTGGCCTTGACTGAACACACTTTTTTTCCCCACGAGTCTCGTGTTTTGTGGAATTGAAGAAAGGACTCAGAGGAGCACATTCTACGAAGCTCTACGTACAACTGGCTACACAATTACTCTATGCCAGTGGCCATACTCTCTGCTCAAAAGCAAGCATGGCGTCATAGCTCAGCTGGGAGAGCAACAGACTGAAGTAACATGTTGTTAAATAAGTCCTTGACATCTGGAGGTCCCGTGTTCAATCCACGGTGATGCCATTATTTTTGCTTCAATTTCTCTTTTCATTTTCGCTTTCAACGTTCCAACTACAGTATGTATGCACATCCAAGCGAGCGCTGCGCATTTTGCGATCCCGTGCTCACATGTTCGACTAACGGGTTGAACTCATAGAGCTACTACCCATTGTAAGTTCTCCCATCCGTAGGATTTTCCCTGGGGCCCGAGTTGATAGAATCTTGTCGTGCAGCTACGCATATTTTACAATGCTTGTTGTCCGGAGTAATCAAATTGCGTCGAGAGGAGACTCAGCAGGGATCTCTTCCGCTATTACTGTAAAATTCGAACTTAGCCCCAGCGATATCCATGAACACGCGCACAGAGAAATCCAGCATATTTGCGGCGCTTTGGGTTCCAATTTGGTAGATACCAGGGGCACAGAACAGGAATTTCGAGGAAATACCGAACCGCTTCCCGGCGAAATCCGGGTTGTGTGACTATGATGCCGGGGGCAGACAGGCCCGGCCCGTCAGCTTTCCTCCTTTTCTTCGACACACCAATATCTTTGGCCTCAGGCCTCATGTATCAGTCTTTGAGGCGGCTCGCGCATCCTTCTGACTTCTTCTCCCGCCGAATTCTCCCGAGGATACCCTACAATCTCAGAAGCCTAAGGACCACGACACCCCAAGCAGTAACGTACCGACGAGCTTCGCATGCGCAAGAGCATAACTGACTGGGTGTTCGCAGGAACCAGGGATCTCAACGTGACGCATCCGACATCCCTCTTCCACAAGTTCCAGCGCCAGAACTCCCCCACACAACGGTTGGTAAGCTTCAAATTGCCCCGTGCATCGCGACAATGATAAGGCGTGTTTCTAGCCTACGCACCGCAGCCGAGTCCAAGCATCTGCCATCTAGCATCGCTGAGCGTAAAGAGCTCATCTCGGCCTGTTTTCCAACTTTCCGTCCCGAGCTGCTCCCGTACTGGTTCTCGTGCGATTGGTTGCGCTGGGGCAGCATGTCCTTTTTCTACGTTCGGACCCATTGGTACAACCTCAGCCCCGCGGACACCATCCTGACCCACGCCTTCAAAATTCCCGGCACGCTGCGCCCGCTTGCGTTCCGCGAGTCCGCCGGGCCAATCGTCCTCGTGGCCGCCGGCCCAGAATATTATCTCTGGGACGGAGATGCGTTGACGCTCACCCGTTTCGGTGCGGACTTTGATTCAGATGAAGACTTTCTGGCGCGCCATGCGGGGCCGGAACACATCATCGATCTTATGGGTGTGGCGGAGGACCTCCCTGCCGACTACGACGACCTCTACTGGCGTCTCGACGAGGAGCAGCGGGGGTTAGCGTTGCAGATGGGAGGAAGTCCGGATTCTTTGCTCAACCCACGTGAGTTCTGCGTTCGCGCTCACGGGCCCAGGTCTGACGCTTCATCTCGAATGTGCAGGCCTCACAAGGCGGTTGCGCTTGTAGCGACATACTCACTAGAACTAGAGTGCGTCATCAACCGGACAAATCTCACAGAGAATAGTTGGTTGGATGACGGTCTGCTGTCATGTCCTTACCAATACCCACATATCTCTATCACTCCTGATTTTCAGAATATGATGTTGAGTGTACTGCGGAGTGCCTTGTATCTCTAGGAACCGAAGGTGTGCCAAAAGGGCTCGCTACAATTTTCCTGATTCGGACGCCGCGACTCGAACTCGGCATTACTGATGCTATTCAACTCAAAAGCGAAGAACGTGCAGGTGGCCATGGGTACGCTACAGCACATCCGACTTTCTGACGCCGTCGCGATTCGATTCTAAATGCCTGAACCGAAGAAACTCAAATTCAGATCAGAAAGCCGCTTGGACCGTGAATTCTATTGAAGGCGGTTGACCGCGGGGCTTCATCCCACAGATAAGCGCACGCGAAAAGAAAAAAAAAAGACGTTCTTCACCTCGAGCTATGCCGACACCGGGAGTCGAACCAGGGTTTTCGGCGAGAAGATGAAGGGAGGAGGCATATCGTCCACCACGTCCGACTTGAGGGAACAGTGTTAGGCTTTCGCTTGGTGAGACGAAATGAAGATTCAGATCAGATACAGAAAGCCTTTAGAGACGTGGATATTCATTCGGGCATAGCTGAACCCAAATCACGGGATCTGACAAGGGATCTGAGGTCATGCATTGCGACTCTGCGAGAGAGAACAAAGAATTGCGCACGTACCTGATCCTCGCAATCCTTTTTTTGAAGTTGAGCACAACAGATGTGATTTCCAGTGCTGGTTTCACCAAAGGTCGCTTCCCAGAGACGTGCCTGCGGCTGGTGAGAACAATGAAATAAAAATTTTGGAGGGGACAGGGAGGCAAGAAGAAACCGTAACCAACAGGAACATGGCTCGGATCCGAATCGAAGGGAGGACCCCTGCTGAGTACGTTCACTTGCAATCAGGTAAAGTACACAGGTGCAGACCATCTGCCACCGAGTCGGTATTGAAGCGTATTCAGCCTTTATTGTACCGGACAGGTGAACCCGTGAAACGGGCTCCGATGGGACTGAGGGCGGTGCGTGGTGAGAGGGAGTCGAAGTCTGATACTTCCTGAAGGAGAACACGCAAATAGGTATACGACGGAATGGATCCGGGGGAGTTTAAAAACCTGCTTGAGATAGATTTTCGCGACGAAGTATGCCACACATAGATCCGAATCAGAGGGCCTATCATAGATTTTCGGGGCTGAGATTGGTCAAAAAGTTGTGGCCCAGAGAGTACGTGTATCTTCGAGTTTGAACTGGTTCCGAGAAATCGGCGTTTACAGGTACATCATACTTGTTTTATTCCAAGCACCTCCGCAGGTCATCAATGCCTTCAGGATCTCGCTGATGAGCAGATTCCCACCCTTGGAAGAAAGCAAGGTAGTTTCAAATTAAAACGGGCCGCTGCCGATGAGCGAAAAAGGATTTGGACGCCTATTATGTAAGACTTGGGTCCGAATCGAACGGATGATTCATGCTGAGTATCTCTTGTAGAGCTACAGTATGCAAGCGCGGACCATCCGCCACCAAATCGGTGTTCCAGAGGATTGAATCCCGTGTTGTGGCAACGCCGGGGTCAGGAGAACGGCAAGGAGTCATCAAGCAGTCGTCCAGGTTCCAGTACTGGTAGTCTGGTATTTTTGGGAGGGTAATATGTAACGCCTTTCGCGGGAAATAGGGAGCCAGATTTGTGTTTCTCCTCCCTGCGGAAAGATGCTCACGTCCGTGAGGAATGAAGGACAGATGCAGCGTATGCTGGGTGCAGATAGATCAGCCGGAGAGTACGATCGGATCCTTCGGCTCGGACTTGATCGGACATCGGATAATACTTGACCATGTCATGCTCGAGACCATCGGTTTCTGCTTACCCTCTCCGCCGCACATCCATGGACGATACTGCACCTGTTCTCTAAAGGGACACCAAATAGCGTGATCCAAAAGAAGCCGAGAATTCTTGGACGGAAGAAGCCATCGTCATTTTTGAGGCGAACTGACTAGCTCGTCTAGCTCGAAATCGAAGCTACTTTCGCTTTGTATCTTCACAAATTTGCGGATCTTGGGGGCTACGGCACTGGTACTACTTTGAAATGAAAGAGGAAAATCCCTCGTCATCTGAATCCCGCGAAAATCTATTCCACGACTGGCCTATTGATCTAATGCATAAATCTCTGCCTTTTTCCTTTCAGTCGCTTTTTCTCTTCCCGTCGTCAAGTCTCCTGTCTCCTTGCTGCCTGATGTAAGTGCCTCCTTCCTGGACACTCCATCACTGATGTCTAACGCAGTGCTCATCCAGAGAAGCGTCACACGAGTATAAATACGGCGCAGAGGCCGTTAAGACGGCACTTCGCTTCCTGCCTGTTACCACCAACCCCTATGGACGATGACCCAAACACTCTTTCACTTTCCGCCTCAAACGTAAGCCCCGAATCGGGTAATTTGATGGCGGCAACATCTTCGGCAGTGATGTCGGCAAACCTCGGCATGAAGCACCAAGTTTTGACCAAGTCCGCAAAGTGCTCAGCGCACAGCGTTGTGTCGCATTGAGTTCCAATGATACAGTGAATAAGGAACAGGATAAGGAGCAGGTAAGATCAAATGATAATATATATATCTACACTGTAACAGGCTCAAACACAGCTCCCGAGCAGAGCGCGCGGTCGAGCGCACAATGAGGCCATTCTACTATCCGAAACTGCAGCAAAAAATGCTGCCGGGGGAGGTGCTATGGGTGGATTAAGCTGAACACGTCATTGCGGCACACATGCGCGAGCTCAGAAGGGCGGTGTGCATTCGTGCGCGTGGCGCGATTACGCCGACGCGCCCTTGCCGCACGACATAGGCATATGTTACAAACACACCATATCGGAGGGCCCTGTTGCTTCACTTCGACGTCGAGTCCCGTCGCATGACGCTCGAGGCGGGGCCGTCGTTGCCGGAGGCGACCATCGATGTGCGCGGGTGCGTAGTGCGGATGAGGGCGTAGGGTGCATCGCGGGTAGTGTTTTCCGGGTCGGGCCGGGCCTGAAAGCCCGGGGCTTGGGCCGGGCTTGAGCGGGCTTGGGCCAGGGAAAACCTCAGGCCCGACCCAATCATCGGGCTTGAGGCCGGGTCGGGTCGGGCTTGGGCCCAGGCCCGGGGCTTAGCAGTAAATAATAATTATCTATATATGACTTGGATTAGGCCTCTCCGAGGCGGGTGCTGAACCTTTAGGTTGAAGTTACACCAGATATGTAGAGGAATTCGAAGAGCTTGACACAGTTTAAACCAAAGGCGCTTAGATAAAGCCATTTAGATTGTGATATGCAATTTCGGGCCGGGTGACTCTGGCTAAAATTGGCAGCAGTCCCAATTTAGCTACGGAGCGTTGGTTTATATAAATTCACAAAAGATGGGGGGTTCCACTTGGGCCACTGTAGAGCATGACACCCACAAAATGACTGTCTAAACTGTTGCGCCTACTTGTTTTCTAGAGCTCCCGGCCATTGGTCGGGACACGGCAAAATTTAAGGCTA